AGACAAAAATCAGAGGATACAACTGACGATTTACTATAAAACCAGAAAAACGGCCAGCCTACTCATGAGAAACTCTCCAGACACGAAACAGAACGCTTTAAAAGAGACTAACGTCGTCTATGCCTTCAAATGCCCACTTGGGGACTGTAAGCTCCAAAAAACCCAGTATATAGGCAAGACAACAACATCTCTTTCTAGGCGTTTAACGATGCATAAACAACAGGGCTCTATTAAGGAACATATAATCTCTTCCCATAACCAAACCATCGCCAGAGAAATCCTAGTAAACAACACAGAAATCATCGATAGATACAGCGATAGCAGGCGGCTTGACGTTTGCGAGGCACTACACATCAAGAAGTCAACACCAGCAATCAACAGCCAATTATTGCACAACTATATTCTACCCACCTCAAGACTCCGCTCCAATATAGAAGCATCAAGAAATATGGACCAATAGGCTTTCTACAAACACTTCTATTCAATACCCATTGTTTCTGTTCTGTCTTGTGTTGATACTTTTAATACCCTATTAATATCCTCTAGTGTTCTGTCTTGTGTTAATGCCACATCATCCTTCCCACCTCACTCAAATGTAATGCCACATCACCCTTCCCACCTCACTCAAATGTAGATATAAAATCAGGGAAACGCAAGTTCTAATCAGTTGTGTATTTGTGAAGTCTTTGAAAATGTAATAAGTTTTACGAAACGCGCCCGTGTCGCGTCAGACTAGAAATAAAAATGAATTTTGGAGAAGTGATTTTTGATTTACCTCCAACAGTGAAGCATAATGTACGAAAGATTGAGAAAATCCGTGTTAGAATTATTAATCTTACTTTTTCGGTCATATTTAATAATATATATATATATATATATATATATATATATATATATATATATATATATATATATATATTATATAATATATAATATATATAATATATATATTATATATATATATATATATATATATATATATATATATATATATTATATATATATATTGTGACGATAATCTCCTTCAAGAGAGATTGAGCCTGCTCTTCCCTCCTAAGTACGTCCATAACAACAATAACAACTAATATAGAAGATATATCCAACAAGTACAACACCAAGGTTTGCCCAGAGAGCAAACGTATTCAGCACCGAGACACCTGCTCCACCTCCGCCACTCAAACCAGCAAACTACTTGTCCATCGCTGATTAGCTGGTGCCCGTCGCACCTGCTCCCTCCACCCGCCACACTAGCTGACGTCTGGGCCACCACGACCTACAGTCCTCAGAATATCCCGTGCTTTCCACAAGTTAACACGTCTCATTGGTAGACTAAGCCTTGGCTTATGTGTACTAAGGGAGGTGGCAGCTTGAAGCCAATATTCCTGCACCCATATATCTCCTTGTCTATTATTTACTTGTCTATTATTCACTTGTCTTAACGTAACTTTTCATTTGCCAGTGATTATTCTTATTATTTTGTTTGATTGATTTTATGTTACAATTTTTATGCCCATTTTATTTATGTTTTGCTTTTCTAACGTAATTAAAATCTTATTGTTAAATTTACTTGTGTTTTGTGTGTCTTCCCATTACCTTACCACAGACGAAAGTTCCAGATTTTCTCTTTTTGTTTCTTTATGTGACGAGGCCATACCCCTAGCTTTTGAAACAGCCGAACACCAACGCGCTACCGTCACAATATATATATATATATATATATATATATATATATATATATATATATATATATATATATATATATATGTCGTACCTAATAGCCAGAACGCACTTCTCAGCCTACTATTCAAGGCCCGATTTGCCTAATAAGCCAAGTTTTCATGAATTAATGTTTTTTTGTCTACCTAACCTACCTAACCTAACCTAACCTAGCTTTTTTTGGCTACCTAACCTAACCTTACCTATAAATATAGGTTAGGTTAGGTTAGGTAGGGTTGGTTAGGTTCGGTCATATATCTACGTTAATTTTAACTCCAATAAAAAAAAATTGACCTCATACATAGAGAAAAGGGTAGCTTTATCATTTCATAAGAAAAAAATTATAGTAAATGTATTAATTCAGGAAAACTTGGCTTATTAGGCAAATCGGGCCTTGAATAGTAGGCTGAGAAGTGAGTTCTGGCTACTAGGTACGACATATATATATATATATATATATATATATATATATATATGTCGTACCTAGTAGCCAGAACTCACTTCTCAGCCTACTATTCATAGCCCGATTTGCCTAATAAGCCAAGTTTTCCTGAATTAATATATTTACTATAATTTTTTTCTTATGAAATGATAAAGCAACCCTTTTCTCTATGTATGAGGTCAATTTTTTTTTATTGGAGTTAAAATTAATGTAGATATATGACCGAACCTAACCAACCCTACCTAACCTAACCTAACCTATATTTATAGGTAAGGTTAGGTTAGGTAGCCAAAAAAAGCTAGGTTAGGTTAGGTTAGGTAGGTTAGGTAGACGAAAAAACATTCATTCATGAAAACTTGGCTTATTAGGCAAATCGGGCCTTGAATAGTAGGCTGAGAAGTGCGTTCTGGCTATTAGGTACGACATATATATATATATATATATATATATATAACAAACTTGAGCTTGTAAAAGCATCTTAATCACCCTCTGTGGTTAAGTGCTTAATACAGAAAGATAGAAAATATAAAAAATTATATAAAAATATAAAAAGAGTAGAAAATAAAAAACAGTACATTTACAAAGACTGTAACACCACTATTTATATAAACTAATAATGTAACACTACTACTCTATTGTAACACCACCATACAGTACCACTAATGGTGTAACACTACTAACTTTGTACACTAAATGTTATTGAACACTGTACTTATATTTAACGTAATATAAGCTGACATATGATGTACTACTGATGGTTAAACTGGAACCAAAGGTACCCAAAAAGGAAATGCTACACAGGATTAACTACGCTGCCACCATCTGCCATGTCCATTAACTATATCAAGCAACGAGGCAAGAAACATTGCTTGACTTGGAGAGTCCTCTTTCCTTAACTGTCCTTAATTATGGGGCGGATGTTAGCAAACTATATCCAGAGGATAAGAGGATTCAACAATTGATACAGATGGAAAGTTTAACACGAGTTTATTGAGAACAAATTATGCTATTCACCACTATAACTCCTACTCTAACACTGGCCAATAGTTAAGAAATTTAGACATGGAACAAAACCTCAGAGATCACACTTTACCTTAAGACCTCTCTCTCTCCATCTGGTGGATTCACTCTGTCTCTCCCTGGCTGTGCGATGTTCTTCACAGACCCACTTTGGACCCTGGTGTCCGGCATTCTCTCTCTTAACTCTCCTACAGGGGGCATATATACACACAAGAAAGGGGATAGGGGAGATTTGCTGTTGCTACCTACACCGAAGATGCAAGAGGACGGGCCACACGTGCACAAACTCAAGAAATTTTCCCATTAAGTTTGTGTGACATTCACCATACACTCCTCAAGAGAGGAATTATTAATTACGTGTGTGACTGACCTCTGATCTGGCTAAAAGGGGAAAGATCCATGGATGTTTACACATAAGAATCTGGGGTCTAATTCCATTGCAATGTTTGACAAGAGTATCATGAAATATTACATACTTGAAACTAGCTGACTAAGACTAACCCAGGAATTTTTTAATCAACATACAAGATAATCCAAAGGTCATCTGGGCTGACCTCTTGGAGAGGGCTTCCCTGGGTGTGAACTCTAGGGGAAGGGGGGGATCATGGGTGTTACAAGACAATGCATGTGAAAAAAAATCTATATTTATATACAATACTGTTCTGTAACTCACCTTGAGTTTGTGGATGAATATTCCAACATCTTGTTCCATATTTACAGGTGCCCTTCAGGTAATAACTGCAGATCACCTTATTACCGACAGCTGGGTTTTGACTAAACATGGTACTGGGTACTGTACTTGCACTGGCCACCCCGTTGTATAGTAGCAACCATCAGGTCACCAACCACTTTCTGAACCATTCCATTAATAATGCAGATTATATCATTATACAGGGTACCAATATGTTGGATACTACATGTTGTTGTTGTTGTTAAAGATTCGCTACCTGGAATGTAAAATTCCAAGTAGCACGGGCTATGGTGAGCCCGTAGGCCTTATATATTACATGTTACATCATGATTACATCCATGTGTTCAATACTGAACTATTGATACAGTTTAAGCTAAAAGCACCTTCATAGCCAAATTTAAAATACCATTTCTTGGCAAGCCTAGGCAAAACTAATGACTAATTTGCATACCATTGCATAACCTATAATTACTGTTTTATGTTGATTATTTTTAAATAATATATGTTAATATCTTTCAAGGATATGTTCAGTTGGACAGTAATGTTTAGGCATAGGCAAGCACATGCAACTTTATCTAGCCGAATAATAATGCCATTGTGCCATAATAATGCCATAATAATGCCGTTGTGCAGCCATTAGACCCCAATGAATATGTCTTAGGAATAATAATTTTTCACAGGTACTGTATATCAAATATCATGTCAACTATCCATGACTAAGATTGGCAATACTAATTTTTGGGGGTTAGGCAGCCAGTTCTTAGACAATATATGTACAATTCAAAGAATAAATGTTTGTAGGAGTACTGTATGAGGAACTGTGTAATCTATACTTGCCAGTGATACAGAGTAAGACCTTTTAAAGTACTGTAGCAAGAGAAAAATCCCAAGATGTTGATGTGTCAACGCAGTGTCTAAGGCTGGGAAGGTCCAGTCCCACAGCCCATTAAACCGTGGTACCAGTCCAGTCCCTCAGCCCATTAAACCGTGGTACCGGTCCATAGAATTACCCAAATCTACCCAAATCCTGTTAGCATTACGTAAGTAATGAAGAAGCAGTCTCCGTGGTGTAGTGGTAAGACACTCGCCTGGCGTTCCGCGAGCGCTATGTCATGGGTTCGTATCCTGGCCGGGGAGGATTTACTGGGCGCAATTCCTTAACTGTAGCCTCTGTTTAACGCAACAGTAAAATGTGTACTTGGATGAAAAAACGATTCTTCGCGGCAGGGGATCGTATTCCAGGGACTTGCCCGAAACGCTACGCGTACTAGTGGCTGTACAAGAATGTAACAACTCTTGTATATATCTCAAAAAAAAAAAAAAAAAAAAAAAAAAAGAAAAATGGCATATTTACGCACTACTTGTATAATGTTGGTGCCGAATGCAGAACATGATCAAACCTATTTTCATTCTGACAATTTAATTTCATAACGAAATTTGAAGTACTGTACTGTAAATATGTAGCAGGTGACGCCATAGGAAGTCGAGGGTCCAAGCGACAATGTTGTGGGGCGACTTATCCAAGATATATGGTTGCCTGGAGAGTGTTTGCTGCCATATCAGCCTTCTGTACACAGTGATTCAGTTGTAGCACTTCTTTGCTCAAATTGTCGCAAATTTAATTGGTGATATTAACAAGTAGAATGCGTATTTATAATGATATCTTTCATAAATAGCCACAAAATATTTAATACAGTATTTATTTAAAAAAATGTGTTTGGAAGTTAAATCAACTCCACAGGACAATAATTCTGTTATATAGATACTAAGGGTATTCGTTGGTATGCATTCGCTACTTAAATTACTCTTGTCCTTTTCGTTCATGGAACACCAAACCCTACACACACACACTGATATATTAATTAATAGAGATTCACAAATAAAGATTATATTTGTATATGTTATCAGAAAGGCAGAGATAAAATAGCTCTTGTGAATCTATCACAGAGATTATACCTTATTATAAAGGAAAGATATTCATATTTTAAACAAGGTTTCTTGGCCGACGCTCTCCCTATCGATGGGAACTACGACCTTCCAAAGATCAATGTTAATTTACTCTAGATATTGTAATAAACAAAGTTTTCTATGTCATCATCAAGACGAAAATATAAGCTGCATGTTAATATTTTGGCATAAATATAACTGAAATGAAAGTGAAGATATATGCGCCTTTTATAGTTACTTGATGGCTAGCTCAGGGAGTGTGAAGGCCTGCACACAAGCTAATCAATTGTATAATTAATTTGCATACAGTATATGCAAAGTAACGGTAAAGGTCTCTATGTCAGAATAAAGACATGTGACGATAATGTAACTACATTTCAAGGAAAATATATTTTAAATGAAAGCAAAGATATGGTTAAATAAATAGCCAATACCACACCATCGCTGGTATCCGGACATATGAACAGTCGAATTACGTTAAAGGAAATGTACCCAACCATTTCTGTCCCGCCAAGGATTCTCGATTGTGCGTTGAGAATGAACACAACTGTACTACTGGGACCCCTATACTGTATATATATGTTATGTTCTATATCATCAAACAATATATTTTTAAATATTTGTCATTAAAGTATTTATTTTGGAAACAGAGGTGTATTTTAGTTACCCTAATATAGAGCACAAATATCATACTCATCCTGTGAGTGGTAGTTTATTGTGCATCCCATACTCATCGTGTGAGTGTTTATGTGCACCCCATATTCATCCTCTGCACGATAATTTATTGTGCAACAAATACTCATCCTATTACCAGTAGTTTGTGCAAACCATACTCATCCTGTGACCTGTAGTTTATTGTGTAACCCATACTCATCCTGTGAGTGGTAGTCAATCGTGCACCTTATACTCATCCTGTGATAAAAAAAAACCAGGACCCAAATCGCTGCATGGGTGTTTTTATGGAAAAAACACAGGGCCCAAAGCGCTGCAGACGGAAAAAGCAAAACTGCAGCGATCTGTGCCTACTTACACTACTAAATTAGATTATTTAAGAGTAAAAATAGATTTGATAATGTTCTGCATTCAACACCAACATTATAGATAGCAAATATACCATATTTCTTCATTACTTACGTAATGCTGGCAAGATTTGGGTATATTTGGGTGAATTTGGGGTAGATTTGGGTAATTTTATGGACCTCTTGGTACTGTAGTTGGATTCCAGGGGGCTGGGCATGCAGGTGTAACCTGTCCTCTTGTATAATATATTGCAGTTTGATCTCAGCATCCCCGACATTCAAAATATGACATGCTATAAATCACAGTGGATTGCACATATTCTCTTTTTCTATGTGTGGGTCATTGGTTAGACTCAAGCAACTTGGTGAGCTACCTCCAACACCACCACCACTACCGCCTCCACTAGCGTACACTACCGCCTCCACTAGCGTACACTACCGCCTCCACTAGCGTACACTACCGCCTCCACTAGCGTACACTACCGCCTCCACTAGCGTACACTACCGCCTCCACTAGCGTACACTACCGCCTCCACTAGTATACACTACTGCTGCCACTAGTATACACTACTGCTGCCACTAGTATACACTACTGCCTCCACTAGTCGGAGCTCTACACTACTGCCTCCACTAGCTTACACTACTGCCTTTACTAGTATACACTACCACCTCCACTAACATACACAACCACCTTCAGTAGTGTACACTACCACCTCCACTAACATACACTACCGCCTCCACTAGTGTACACCAGGCACCAACCAGAGTGTACTAACCTACACACAAGTAGTACAGAGTACAACACCCACCATCACGGGTCGCCGCCACACTGAACTACTCACACTCCTCTCGCTTCCTCTATTATTTGTATTCTTTTATTGCTTTCTAAATACAAGAGTTGTTACATTCTTGTAAAGCCAGTAGCACGCATAGCATTTTTGAGCGGGTCCTTAGTCTTAATTTTCCCCGGAATAAGACCCGCCAAATTGTTTAACAAGGTATCCATTCACTGCTGGGTGAACAGAAGCTACTGTTAAGGTTTGGTGCCCAGTCAATCCTCCCCGGCCCGGATACGAACCCAGGCCAAAATTTGGTTGTCAAATCGCTGGCAAAACGAGTGTCTTACCACTGTGCCACATCGTCTACCTATTGCACCTGCCATATATATTTTAGGTGTGGGTAAATATGCCATATTATATTACATCATGTTCTGAAACATTAGATTTTTTTTTAGTGTCAGAGTAGTTAAAAAATTGAATGCATTAGGCCGTGATGTGGTGGAGGCTGACTCCATACACAGTTTCAAATGTAGATATGATAGAGCCCAGTAGGCTCAGGAATTGACACCAGTTGATTGACAGTTGTGAGGCGGGACCAAAGAGCCAGAGCTCAACCCCCGCAAGCACAACTAGACGAGTACTTATGTAATGGTGGGAGGTTGTCCGTAGAGTTACCCAAAGGCACCCAAAACTACCCAAAACATGCCAGCATTACATAAGTAATGAAGATATATGGTCCATGTCAGTGTATATATATGTATAAGATGTTTGTATAAGATATATGGTATAAGTACAGGAGGGTGATAGGGCAGCAAACACTCTCCAGGAGACAATATATCTTAAATATAGTCGCTCCACGACATTGTCACTTGGACCCTCGACTTTCTATGGCGTCACCTGCTACATATTTAATTCTAATTTGGTTATGAAATTAGATTATTTCAGAGTACAAATAGGTTTGATCATGTTCTGCATTCAGCAATAACATTATAGTGAGTAAATATACCATATATCTTTATTACTTACGTAATGCTAGCGGGCTTTGGGTAGCTTTGGGTAGTTTTGGGTGATTATTGGTAGCTTTGGGTGGCTTTAGGTAGCTTTGGATGCCTTTTGGTAGCTTTGAGTAGTTTTGGATGGCTATTAGTAGCTTTGAGTGGCTTTGGGTAGCTTTAGGTGGCTTTGGGTAGCATTGGGTGGCTGCGGGTAGCTTTGAGTGGCTTTGGGTAGCTTTGAGTAGTTTGGGTAGCTTTGGGTGTCTTGACAGCTGAGTGGACAGCGCTTGGGTTTTGTAGTCCTGCGGTTCCGGGTTCGATCCCTGGTGGAGGCGGAGACAAATGGGCAAAGAGTTTTTCACCCTGATGCCCCTGTTACCTAGAAGTAAATAGGGACCTGGGAGATAGACAGATGCTACGGGCTGCTTCCTGGGGGTGTGTAACAAAAAGGAGGCCTTTTCGAGAACCGGGCCATGGGGATGCTAAGCCCCGAAATCATCTCAAGATAACCTCATGATGGGTGGCTTTGGGTAGTTTTGAGTGGCTTTGGGTAGTTTTGAGTGGCTTTGGGTAGCTTTGAGTGGCTTTGGGTAAGTTTGGGTGGCTATGGGTGGCTTTGGGTTGCTATGGGTAGTTGTGTCGTTCGTTAGCCTTCGAACGTAGGTTCGAACCTTTATCACGGCCCTTGTGGATTTGTTCAACTGGTGTACAGATTCTTGAGCCTACTGGGCTCAGTATGTATGTGTATGTATGTATATGGAGATATACACACACACTTACATACACACAGGCTTCCTGTTCCCAACAATGGGAATTATTTTACCTTTTAAAGATGTTTGGATTAATATCTTCCAACTTGTTTGGTATCTTAAAGGTCTTGAAAATCTCAGCCCTGCCAGGTCTGGTTTATAGTATGGCACCTTTTATTGCCATGTTAGTTTTATACCAGTTATATGCGCCTTACTTTACAATTTTTTACAGATGAATAAATTTGTATTTTACTCATCTCTATGTACCTTGCGGTTACCCTGCGATGATTTCAGGGCTTAGCATCCCCACGGCTCAGTCCTCGACCAGGTGTCCT